ACTACTGGGAAAGAGAATCGGCTTGTAAGAAGATGAAAACATGCACAGTTTGAATCTTATTCACCATTTGTTGATGGTACGTGCAGTATGGTGAACATGGGGTCTTGTAATTCTGTCTCCTTTCACCTCAGTGTTACTACCTGGGAGCTTCCAGTGATTCTGCAGCCAAAGTGACCGGTGAGGTGATTCGCCCCCTCAGTGCACATGTTCCTGTCCACAAAATCTGCCAGAGGCTTCAGCGCAGGGACGGCCAGATCTGTGAGCTCAGATATGGTAGGGTGAACTTACATGTAAAGATCCGTTAAAGAGGCCATATGATGCTTTATGATGTGTTCCTTTTCTTGTAATGTGTACATTTATCAATTTGTGCCTCCTATCAAAGAACACTGCTCCAGACCTGCATAAAACAGTCCATATAAAAAAATAAGAGATTTAGAAATGAGCAAAACATACTGCTCAAAGGCAAACACACAAAAGAGGCAAAATTGCTATGTTGTAGAGATATTTTTAAGGTCACACTTTACAATAAGGTTAATGTTAATTAATGCATTTACTAAAATGAACAAACAATGAACAATACATTTACTACTGTATTTGTTCATGTTAGTTAAAGTTAGTTAATGAAAAGACAGTAATTCATTGTTAGTTCATGTTAACTCATACTGCATTAACTTATGTGAACAAGCATGGACTTGGATGTTAATAATGCATTAGTAAATGTTCAATTATGATTAATAAATGCTGTACATGTGTTGTTAATGATTAGTTCATGTTAGTAAATGCATTAACTAATGAACCTTATTGTAAAGTGTTAACGTTTTTAACTTAAATAAAAAATTAAAAAATAAAAACACTACAGTGAAACTGTTTACAAAGTTTGTTCTGATTGGGCTCAGAGTAATAAACTTTACTAATTCAATTAGAAGCATTTTCATGACGAAAACAGAATTAACAACAGTAAATGTCTCAGGCGATTTGTCCATTTACAGTAATAAAAGACACACTAATGCATTTTGGGAGCTTGAAAACACAAGCCTAAGAAAACTGAAAATTTTAAAAGAAACATTATTATATTAATGCGTTTTTGTAAACTACAAAAACCCTGGTTTGGTGAAAACAGTGATGTCATGCGTATGCATATTACGTTTTTGGGCACTGGCAAGTATGTGACGTCCAAAACCATGGATGTTGTGGAATTTGTTGTGAAATTTGTTTGATATATATCGCCATCTACTGGCCATGCATAACACAGAAATGCACAGGAAAAAAGTTATGTTATTAGTACATAGTTGTCCTGCAGTCGTTACTTTATAAATACTAAATAAAAGTCATGATTACAGTAACGGCCCATTCACATTGGGTGTCAGCGTCAATGCTTCCCATTCACTTTTTATATGTGATGTCAAGCGTTGCCTAACTGAATTGTGGGTCTGTCAGTGCCACTTGCAGTGCCTGCAGAAGTTGGGACTTTCTCAAATTCACAAGCGCCAACGGAAGCGTCAGCAAATCAGATCGCTTTATGCAAATACACCAGCTCAGACAGTAGCCGATGGCGGACTAATTTCATTGGCTGACGCTGCTATGACAATAGCGCTAACCTTAACCTTAGACACGCCCTCTGTCAAGCGTTGATGCTGAAGCTCTGTGTGATTCGAGCATGAGGCGCATTATACTTTTTAAAACAGATTTTAGGTGATTAGCCAATCACACCGCACTGGGTCAAGCTGTCCAATCAGAGCATTTTCTTAAGTTTGAAAGCATAATTCAGCCAGAAAATTTCAGACACATTGGGAATAGAGGTTCTGATCAAAACTAAAGAGGAGCTGAGACTTTTATTTCAGTTTACTGATGTACTTTCAACTGAAATGGAATATTGAGTAGGAGGGCGGAGCTTTCTTTTTGTGCATCGTTCCTTTGTTGCAAACTTTTGCTTAAGATTATGCGTGCTGAACCAAAAAATAATTAATAATCTTTTCAGTGTTTTTACTTTTAAAATGAATTGAATAATAATTACAAATTAATAACAATGTAGCTTAGCAAAATAAACATACTAAGTTTGGATTTGACACAGACTTTAGAGTATATGTCAACCCAGTAAACAAAACGATGACCTTTTCAAGTAGCATCATATGGCCTCTTTAACTGTACTAACAATATATTAGGGTTTGAAATATTCAGAAATATTTGTCTACAAACTTTTGAAACATACATATGCTGTTCTCCTATAAATAGAGCGTCTGGTTCTTGACTGGAGCACAGATGCTTTGTCTAAAATGCGAGCGTTGGAGCTGAAGAGAGTCTTGGCCTCATGGGGCGAAGAGTGCAGAGCCTGTCTGGAGAAGAGTGAATTTATCGCCCTCATCCAGGAGGTGGCCCCCAAACACAGCGCTTCAGAGCACAGAGCACACACGGAAGAGTTCTGAGGGCCTCCTTGTGCAGCTCCATGCTGGGGACACAGAGTTCTGAGGAGAGGGCCTCCCTGTGCAGCTCCATGCTGGGAACACACAGGAGGGGCAGCACGTGCAGCTACGTCCAGGGACACTTTTGAAATCACATCGAGACTCCTAACTTATAATGCTTTTTATAATGTTAATTACAACTAGCCATGTGCAATATCTGCACATTTCCCCAGTGTCTCATTCTCCTTTACCGCTGTAAGCATTTTCACCCGCACCCTTAAAATAAATGACTAAGCTTTATTAGTGTCTGTGATTAAGAGGTTGCTTGCAGAGATGCTGGCTATTTTTCTTGTCCAGCAGTTTAATTTGTTAAGGGACACAAGCTTGTGTTAAGACTTTAGGCCACTGTTTCCCAACCTTGTTCCTGGAGGAACACCAACAGTACATATTTTAGATGTCTCCCTTATCTGACGCATTAACTTGAGATTTTGAGTTTTTTCTAATGTTCTGATGAGTTGACTCAGGTGTGTTTGATTAAGGAGAGGTTAAAAATGTGTACTGTTGGTGTGCCTTCAGGAGCAGGCTGTGGAAACACTGATTTACACAACTTATATTTTAATTTGAACTCCTCGACTGTGTATGAGACTGTTGGTGAGTTGAACAAAGCTCATTAACTTATCCAGATCACATTTTAGTCAGAAATAAAAAAAAAATGTAAAAAATGGTTTGGTAACACTTTATTTTGATGGTCTCTATTGCACATTTTGTTGACTAAAAGTTGCATTGCAACTACATGCCAATTACTTCTCATTTGAGTATTATTTCTGCTAATACTGCTCCAATACATTTAACTGACTATAAGAAACTTTGCAAGTTAGTCAACTAAACCTAAAACAGTCTACTTATGAAGATAAGTAGAATTAGTTGGCATGTAGATGCAATGCAACTTAAATTCAACAAAATCTGTTAAAGGGACCATCAAAATAAAGTGATACCAATGTTTTGGATAAATGATAAAAAATTAGGCCTTTTTAAGACTATTATTTATGCACTGATATTATGGACAATTTCTTAAATGGATCTCTTTGGTGTAAAGCAACTGTATGAAAACAATTACTGTAACATATAGAGGAATAAAATTATATTGTAAAACTGTAGAGATTAAAAATGACTGGCTAACAAATGGGTAAAAGCCAATAATAGAGAAAAGTATTTCGTCAAAATTATTTAGTGAAATTATTTGGGGTTCCACTTTGATCATTTCATGTCATCAAATGATTCTCGATCCTTTGGTATATAAACCGTTGTTGCAAAGCATAACATTTTAGTGTGTGCCTTCTGTAAATCATTGTAAAAAATGAACGGTTTTTAAAAATCATTTCTTTTAAATATTCATTTTTGTATAACAGTTACTATGAGAACATAAAACATTTACAACAAAGTCGCTGGTTCGAGCCTCGGCTGGGTCAGTTGCCATTTCTGTGTGGAGTTTGCATGTTCTCCCCGTGTTCACGTGGGTTTCCTCAAGGATCCTCCGATTTCCCCCACAGTCCAAAGACATGTGCCGAAAAGAAAATGAATGAATTTGAAATTTTTGTGGCAGCGAGGTGGCGCAGTGGATTGTGCTGTCGCCTTATAGCAAGAAGGTCGCTGGTTCGAGCCTCAGTTTGGTCGGTTGGCATTTTTGTGAGGAGTTTTTCCCATTTTTGCGTGTGTTTCCTCCGGGTGCTCTGGTTTCCCCCATAGTCCAAATACATGTGGTATAGGTGAAGTGGGCAAACTAGATTGTCTGTAGTCTATGTGTGTGAATGAGAGTGTATGGGTGTTTCCCAGTGATGGGTTGCAGCGGGAAGGGCATCCACTGTGTGAAATATATGCTGGATAAGTTAGCGGTTCATTCCACTGTGGCGACCAAGCCGAAAAGAAAAAGAATGAATGAATGAAATTTTAGTGTGAAATACAACTTGGGGATTAGTCCTGATTTCACTTGTGTGTGTGTGTGTGTGTGTGTGTGTGTGTGTGTGTGTGAATCAACTCCAACGATTCAGTTCATTCAGTGTCAGTGTGTAACAAATGCATAGATGCTTGCGTATGACATAATTATATGTCACTATCCTGACCTCTCCTGAGGATCGTATTGTTGTGACACACACACACACACACACACACACACACACACACACACACACACACACACACACACACACACACACACACAGATGGAACAAAAGACGCCAACGCAACTGTGCTGATGTTTACATCTGGCGCGTTTCCATGGCGATTACAGAACCTTTCATCCTCAGCTGATGATGCTACCGGATTTTGCTGACAAACTTTTTATGTCATAAAACAGAACCAATCAGCCACAAGAGCATCCATCGGCGGGGCTCGTTCGCTCTCCTCTCATCTCTCTCTCTCTCTCCCACCCCCAGGCTCTCTCATTCACAATCCCCCTTTTTTACCATCCAGTTCTGCTGTTCTCCTGTAATAGCTGTTGAGAGAGAGTGAGAAGAGAGAGAGACTGTGAGTGAGATTCAGGCCTTGCCCACGCAAAGAAGTGGGAGACTGAACCTCTCTCTATACGCTCTCTCTCTCTCTCTCACACACACACACACAGTCAGTGTATCATGCTTGCACTGTGTGGGCTGAGCTGAGCATTCCTGTCATACAGTAACAGTCTCTCTGCCTCCGCACTCTCTCTCTTTCCCTATCTCTCCCTCTATTTCTCTCTTTCCCTTTCCCTCTATCTCTCCTCTTTTCTCCCTCTCTTCTCTTTCTCACACACATACGTTCCAAATACACACATTAACACACTTATAGACTTTCACAGACCAGAGAAGGACCCTCTGAGAGGAAGTCGAGATGGTGTGGAATGTGTGCCCTGGTTTTATTAGGTAAGTTCTGCGATTTTCCAAAACAGCCGTGTGCGAGCATCTGAATGAGTGTTTGTTGGAGGATGAGAGTCGTTTGTGTCATCTTAAGGCTTTTCCATGTGTCATATTTGGTCTCGCTGCGGATTTCACTACAGGGATTACAGAACACTTTTTCCTGACAGGCAAAATGTGTGTGTGTGTGCGGCTGACTGGATGAGGATGTGTGAATGAGTATGAATTGCGCTCACTCTATATACTGTAGGTCTTCCTCAGGCAAACCGGTTGAATTTTTTTTGCAGGATAGACAAGACGTCGCCTTACCTTCTTTACCTGTCGCTTTCTGACGTCCTAATTTCTGTCGTGACTGAGGCCAATCTATTCAGCCCTAACGCCCACACATTAAACCATCACACTCTCCGTTTTTTTCTCCTTAATTTGCTCCCTTTCCAATCCCCCCCCCTTTTTTTCAACATCTCTTTAAACATCTGTGTGGCTCTCCGTGCACGTGCACAGTCTTTCGCACACCCGTCAGGAGATGCCAGAGGATGCTCGCTCCAGATTTATGCGTTTGGCCCTTTAAAAGCAGGCAAAGTTTCCTGGTGAACCATTTTTCTGGTTGCCATAGTGATGAGCGAGGACTTGGAGAGGTGCAGTGGTACTGGGATGCAGTGACAGCTCTTAGCATGTGAATTCTCACACTGAGATATGGAGATGCACTGAGACTCGGAACAGAGACGGTGATGAGGTGAGACGCCCACGAACACACATCGCTATTGCTCACAGCGCTCTTTGGCTGATCAGACTGTTCCTGGATCTGTATACGGAGGTGACAAGAGCCCGAAGGGGGGAGGAAACCATGTGGGGATGAGTGTGAGATAGAGAGGGGATTTATGCGTGTGCAGTGATTAATGTTGGAGAAAGTGTGTGTGTGTGTGTGTGTGTTTAGTTACTCGACGCAGAAGTTTTGCATTTGCTGCTTTGAAACTTGACTTCAGGAGAATGCAATTACATGCATATTACAAATGGAGATTTGTAGTGAGTCGCTATTTTGCAGAATAGCACATTAAGAATGAATATTAATTAATGCATTTATAATTTGAATGTTAAGAGAAGTGTTTAAAGATTCTGGAGTTATGTAGCTGCATATTACAAATGAATACTGAATAGTGCATTTAAAGCATGCATGTTTTGCATTCATTGCTCTAATATCACAGATGCTCAGTAATGTGTTAAATAGCAGTCTAGTGTCAGTGTAAAACTAGTCTAGTCTAGTGTAGTTAAAAACTAGGACATTTGCAGTGGACTGAAACTATTTTTGCATAATTATTTTACATGTAGCAGCTCCAGACTGCGATTTACAACAATAAATGAGAGTACATTGAATATTTATACTGTGCTTTAAAAAATATAATACAGGAATATTGAAATGAGCTGCAAAATGCTAAATAATGAATAAATTATAAAAGAAATGGTAGCATCTACAAACGCTGGAGTTTAAAAGGCCACACTGTTATGCAATATGAAATTTCAATTAAAATTTTAGTACTTCAACTGAAGCTGGATCAAATGATCATCAAATTCCAGCTTAATTTTTTTCATGATGATTATATAACTTGTATTTAAAAAAAGATCCTTTCTTTCTTTACTATGATAATAAAAATGTTAGTATGATATTTTCACAGTTAAAAATAAATAAATAAACATATGCATATTCAAGGCTTGACATTAACTTTTTTGATCACCAGCAACTGTGGCTGGTAGTTTTCCAATGTTACTAGCCACTCGCCATCTTCACAAGCCATAATTTTGTTGTTGGGAAAATATATTTTATATGTATTGATTTGACTTTAGCATGCTAAAATTACTTGATATAAATTATGTTATGTCCACGTGCCTCCTTACTCTTTTTTTAGTTCACATGACTTTTTAGGGCTCAAATTTTTAAAAAAAAAAAGTGTCAAAACAAGCTAAATACTAAATAGTATAGCTGTAAACAGTACATACATTTTTATTCAACAAAAATGTTCTTAAAAATAATTGACACTTAAAAAAAATATTCTCATTGATCTAAAACTATACACAGTAGTTTGTCCAGACTAAAGGTCTCAGATCATCAGGTAACTATAAATAAATGGAGAGTCAATCTCCCATTAAAGCAATGTTATTGTAAAGGATGATAATTAAACCATATTGTATTAACAAAAATAACTGCAAGCAAACGAAAGCTGAAACACATTCTATGTGCGATAGTGAACAGTTGATCACGTGCACATGGTTAACAATAGACCCAGTAATAGTCTGTTCAAAGTATGGTTAAAGTGAAAGCAGCAACAGCTGCTGCATACAAAAAAATCTGTATTATCTCTTGAAAGTAGCAGGACGGTTTTTTCCAATCTATTTTAAAGAGAAATGATCACACCAGTTGTGTTTCCAGGCATGTTTTGCACAAGGAAGCGGGAGCTTTTTAGCACTCGCGCTCTTCACATCAACTGTGCCTGACTCACGTCAGTAAGCGAGGGTCGTCTCACTATACACCTGATCATCCTCTCATTCGGTATCCACCTGCTTATATTTGCTTGCGCAAATAGTTATCAGTTGTTCTACCTCTCGATTCTAAGAGCACATTTGCATGGATATAAACAAACGGTTAAAAACTAACATTATAATCTTCAGGGATGAGGCAGCTCTGTCAATTTAAACATTATTTTCGGGTGTTATTGTCAAGCCCTGTGCATATTATTAATTAACCTATTTAATTAAAGCATTAACTATGTTGTCGCATATTAAGAAAGGCAGCAGCCTTGCAACTTCAGTCAAGCTCTTACCCACAGATCCAGACGTCAAGGTGTGTCTTATGTAAGCAGCAAGCTCATGTGATTTCTCCTTGATCTGATGAAATCAAAAGGAAATGAAATCAGGATTTTTTTTGCAGCTGTCATCTATCGCAGCGCCTTCAAATATCGATGCATTCAGCATTAAAGAACTGTACTCAAACGACTACAATATCAGTGCTATATTGTCGATTCCTGTAATTGTGTTACAGAGGCCCTTCAGCGTGCAGTGCAAATAGAAACGTTACTGTTCTGTAACCGTATGTGTGTGAGAGAGATTTGTAGGAAGGAGTGTGGGTGTCGGTAGCCTTTTTTCTGTTTCACATTCAAGTGTGTGAGGTGAATTTTTGTGCTGCCTGAGGAAAGAGAGGAGTTATCAGGAGCATGCAGCCTTTCCTATACTTCCTGCAAAAACATCCCGAGGAGCCTCGGCCCAAACCAGCCAGGAAGAAGGGCAGGAAGTTGGGCTGAGATCACGGGAAGTAAATTACAAAGCCAGAAGGGGCTTAGTATGAAAACAGGTCCAGTGGAAGCTTCTGGAGACCACAGCCATGCTGCTTTAAAGAAAATGTACAGTGTAGCTTCAGACTTGTGTATGTGTGGGAGTAGCGGTGATCCTATATTTAAAATTGATGGGATTATGAAGGTGTTTTGTTTCTTCCTTCAATCCGCACTGCCATCTTTTTAAACATGCTTTAATAAATTCATCTCTTATTTATCCAATCAAACTGCATATAATCTCCTGTTGCTCTATTTTAGCTTTCCAGATATACACTCAGATGGTACATGAGTGGCTTTAGGGGTGCCAGAGATGAAGTATTTAAGTATATAGCCTCACCTGAGGAGACACTGGTGATTGGTTAAGATACTCGAACACTTGTTGCTTATTGGTTTCAGTCAACAAGCGATGCTTTTGGTTGGTCGAGCTGCTTTGAGATGGTCTGGAAAACTTCCTGCTGTAATTTCCCCTTTCCTGCTGGTTTTCCTGCTCAGTAATATTCAGCATCAGGGTTGGGCTTCAAGTGTCCTGAAATTTCAGAGCTCAGAGGAAGCGCCAGCACATTCGGGCCCTGCTATTTTACAAACACAAAGTGGAATACCGTCAGAAAAATCACTGGAATAAGGACAAAAAGCTCTGAAAAGTGCCTGCGATTGTACATGAAGCTTCACATGGGAAGTCCAGGTCGAAGGTGAACTCCTCCTTGTTTCCTTCTTACTCAATGTTTGTAGCTCATATGCTTTTAGTTAGGGATATGAACTAATCTCTAAACCCAAATACTGAACCGTGTCACAAACTTGTCTGTTTTTCGCTATGGATAATACCGAAATGTAATGGGAATTGTTAAAGAGAGGTGTGCAATCACACATCTAAGTAATCAGAGCTAAGATTTTGCCAGCCAGATGATAAAACACTTACAACGAGGAAGGGACATCGCCTGAATACTAAACACTAGCCAAGTACAACCAACTGTAGCAACCCACTTAGCCACTTCCTACAAAACATTCAGAACATCTTAACATCACGGGACTGTCAACTTTTGGGTTGTTTGTAACAAGAATACACATTTGGTCCTTATCGCCTTAAACAATCTCTACATCATGTAATAAAGTGATTAGTAGTTGTCACAGAGCTTGCTATTTCAGTACTGAGTTGTGCATCAAGTTGTCCTTTCAGATCTCAGTTAAACAAAGTTCCTGATGGCCGTACAGTAAAACGAAGCTGCTATGGATGATACTTACTCTTTACAGGGATTTTCCATCTAATGTTCTCTGTGACAATATCTGTTACGTAATAGGACTTCCCTTCTGTCTCCGTGGACAATAGTCAAGAGTGTCTGAAATGTTTTAGCTTGTGTGTGATTGCATTGGAATGAGTGAGTAGGTGGACGGCTACATGTGGCCGGCTGTGATAATAGTATGGTAAAAGAATGAGTGTGTGATGCTGCATATATTCCTTTCCCTTGAGACTTAGTGTGACTGAGGATGTAGATGGTTATTTATCCTTTTGATGGGTGCAAAATTAATTGTTTTACTTACAATCAATAAAGCATCCTCTTGATGTGGACCATGTGATGATGAAAATGTGTGTGAATGGACAAACCAGCAGGTCGACCACATTGTAAAACATCTGAAATGTTGTTTTTGGTCAATCCATAACGCCGAAACCATTTCAGAATTAGTGTTATTATACTATTAATTACCTCTATAATAGTAAAGAGCGTCTGTGCTACGCGTCTCATGTCTTCAAACACCACCACACGTTTCATTGTATGTCGGTATTGTCTTCTGAGGCGCAAGTAATTTATTAAATAAAGAAAAGATTCACGCAGCTTCTCCTACCACAGCAAATGCTGTTTTTACTTCTGATATTTGGTGCCAGTTAATCAGTAAGTGATGATTTTGTTCACTTTGACTACTTGGATGGAAACAATGCTTTATTATGTGATATTCCAGTTTTGCAAATACATTTAATTCACATCTTTGGATGGAAACATAGCTAATGTCTGAGGTCAGAGAAGAATATCACGACTGCTTGAAGCTAACAGGGAGACAAAAGCATCTTAAATGATCAGTTTATAACGAACGTGTGAGCATCTTCGAACACATAAGTCAAACCTTGAAGCAGATGAGCAACAGCAGCAGATGATCACACTGAACCCTCTCTTGACTCCCCTCCTTTTCTGAGGTCAGAGAAGAATATCACGACTGTTTGACGTTAACAGGCAGACAAAAGTATCTTAAATGACATCTCTTCATAACGAAGGTGTGCAGAAGAGCATCTTTGAACACATAAGTCAAACCTTGAAGCAGATGAGCTACAGCAGCAGAAGATCACACCGAGACCTCTCTTGTCAGAAACAGGAAAATGAGACTACAATTTACATAGGCTCACCAAAACTGGACAACATAGGATTGGAAAGGACTGGTTCGATCAGATGATTCTTAATTTTTCAATCAGAAAGTACTGATCCATTCTTCTTTTGTACCAATCGTTCAGGATCCTTTTGGTGATATAAAAGTGTGAAGAATAATTTCTTCGTACAAAATTGGAAAATGTAATAAGACTGGCCTGGTTTGGTGATTTACAATTCATGCTGCACCATTCAAATAGTACGGTGAGAAAGAGAAAGATTGGATCCAACCTGATTTGTACCAACAGTCCAAGTTGTTGCTGGTGGTGTAATGGGATGGGGAGATTCTGTTGCCATATTTTGAGCTTCTTGTTCTCAACTGAGCATAGTTTAAACACCATAGTCTACCTGATAATTGTTGCTGATCATGTCCATCTTTTTATGATAAGAGTGGAATCATGTAATGGCTACTTGCTCCAGGATATCATGTCATCTTACAAAGCTCAAATAATGTAATGGAGTATCTTTGGACTGTGGTAAAAATGGAGATTTGAATCAATCATGTGTGGGAAACAAATCTGCAGATGATATCCTGTCATGCTGCATCTTTCCTGCAAAAAATTAAGGCTGTTTCTTTATTCAGAGGGTTAAGTATTTGAAATGGGTGTCAAGTTGAGTTGAGTGCTGGTGGTTTGTTGCTGGTGATGCTGTAGGAGGAGGACCGGCTGTAAGTGTGTGTGTGTGTGTGTGTGTGTGTGTGTGTGTGAGATTTTGCACAGCTGTCTCAATAGAGGAAGTGGTAGCACACCAGAACAAGCAAAGTGCTGAGTTTCCATGGCAACTTGGGATGCAGGGTTCCCTCATTTTCCATTATTCCCAAGTGGATCTGCTTCACAGTGTCCATGGCAACCACTCACAACCAATGGATTTCCTCTCTCTCTCTCTCTCTCTCTCATCTCTGTCAAACTCTCTTATCCTGTCATTTGATCTTGTCATTTGTGGAAAAATGTCATCTCCATGCTTACGTAAAGACGTCATTACCTGTCACAGTATGGCATTATTAACCACAAAAGCTTGTGAGTGTGTGTTATAACACAGCTCTGCGCATATATATATATATATGGGTCTTGCTTGTATACAGGCGAATCAGATATTAGACCTTACAAGACCACCATAAACCAGTAGGTTAGAATGAGTCTGACTGAAACTGCAGGTATATGTTGTTTTGTAGGGTTGTGAGGCCGGCGTGTTGAGCAGAACGCACACACACTCTCACACACACACTCTCTCCCGGAGCATGCCTATCAGTCCACCTGCCGACGGCAAACATGAGGCTCTCGACCGGCCGTGGCAACAACACGCCCCTACCAACGGTAACCACGGAGATGACAGTATTCGGACCTCTCCTGGGAGTAAATGTGGCTCCGAACCTATGGAGGATCTCCACGGAAACGCAGTTGTCATCCGCATCGGAATCCCTGATCTGCAGCAAACGGTGAGTGCTCTTTTTACTGTGCTCTCATATGCATATGCAGGCTCATTCTCGCCTTTGAAATGGCTGCACTGCAGCACAGGAGTAGAGAGTGGCAGTGATTGGTACAGACCGAGTTGTTGATTCTGCGTGGGAGTAAGGGGTGTGTGACAGAGGCTTACAGCATGTCGTCTACATGCATGCATGTTTCTGTGCAAGGACCTACAGTCATTTGTGCTGAAAGATGCACGTCGAACTGTGTATACCGTGTAATCCAAAACTGGACTTTTTCGGACTTACAGGTTTTACCTGAATTCACTTTTGAACCTAAATGATGTTAGATGGAGCATATTTACATAATCCATCCAAACACAATACTGCATGCAAACATAACGTGTTGTTTTTCCAATATCCAGCATAATGCTTTCTGTCAGCAGTTTTGAACTTTGAAGCTGAGTTTGGTATTTTTGTAATTTGCTGGGTTCAAATCATGGAAACCTGCAAAAGTAAAAGGTTTTATTAACTTGCTAACCACTGTATTTGACTCTTGGTCATACTGAACATTTTTGAACTCCTTTTAGTGTGTTTTAGTTGCTGTTTAAGCATCCTCAAAGTTACTAAGTTCACCCCAAAGTTATTCTCTATGCACCATTTCAAAACTCTTTAGTCCTTTTCATTCAGGAATGTATTTGTCACAACATCCTAATTTCAACTAATTAGTTGAATTGGGTTAAAGGGATAGTTCACCCCCTAAAAAATGTGCTCACTATTTACTCACACGCTGGCATTTATTTTATTTCATTTGCTCAAAATGTTCTCCTTTTATTACAAGTGTTGCTGGAGTTTTCTATTCTCAATATTTACTCACACTTAAGTGGTTTTAAACCTTTATGAGTTTCTTAATTCAGTTGAACACACTATAGGAAATAATATTCAGAAAAATGTTAGAAACCTGTAACTATTGATTTCCATAGTAGGAAAAACAAATACTATAGTTACAGGTATTATCCTGCATTTTTCACAATATCTTCTTTTGTGTTCAACCGAAGAAACTTGAAAAGTGAAGGATGAGTAAATGATGATAGAATTTAGAATTTTGTGTGAACTATTGCTTTAATAAAAAGTTGCCTTCTGGAAAGGGGGCAGGGAGAAGCAGCTAATTTGCATTTAAAGAGAAACACCATTTTTTTCCACTCCAATATGGGGCATTCACAGCGTAATTTAATTAAAGGTGCTGTATGCAAGTTTTGACTTTTCTAAAGCATATAAATACCACAATATCAAAAATCAATTTCAGCACCTTGGGTTGCCTTGCTGGAAAAGCCCATATTTTATTAATTCATTCCGAAAATGTGACCTCCGGTGGACAGTAGCAGACTCTGAAATGAGACGCAGATTCAGAGATCCACATGAGATTATTAATTAGTAAATAATATAAATATTACAAATGTAAGCATTAGATGAGCAGGTTACATTGTAAGTCTGTGTCCTAACAACACACTACGTGACAAGATTTGCAGCAGACGAAACACGACAGCCAAATACAGCAATTCAGAAGCACAGAATATGCACACTCACAAAATATTACATATTAAACTTCTTTAACATTATTAAATGTACAAACTGAATCACTGATAGTTGTTGGCTTGCGTGGTTCAGCTCAATTTCAAACGGTGTATTCTATATTCAAGAGGTGAACTACCTGCTGCTGCTTTCAGTAGTCTGGCAAAAAATGTAATGTAAAATGGCTTTCAAACTCACATTGTTGTAAAGCACATGAGGTGTACCTCAGGTGATCATTGTCAGTTTTCTGTTGTTCAGCAGCAAGAAATCGAAGCCATTTCTAATATATCAATTTGAGGTGTTGGTTAGAACAAAAACTGCTTTTAATATGGAAAATATTCCTTCTATCGCATGTTGTTGCTTTTGTTCAGGACACAATTTAAAATTAGCCTTTAGGCTTGATAGTCAGGCTCGTTCCTGTTGGTCCTCAATCTGGCAACCTGTGCTTGCGTGTGTTTTGATCCAGGAATGCAATACCTAGTTCAACCACTGGGCGTCAAACTTGCATACTGCACCTTTAAAAAAAGTCAGTCAGGTATTACAAGCTAATAATACACAACCAGAATCTTACATTACATCTTGCAAAAAGGGCATAAAAGGATGCTCAAAAGAGGTCAAGAGTTCAGCACATCCTCACTGACTAATGATACTTAATATCTGTGAACAAATAGCACAGGCTTTGATTTCTTGATCTCAAGCAAAGTCTAAGCCTGCTGTGTTTAAAGGAAATATTAAAGGGAGAGATTCGATTTTATAGATCTGAACTAATTGCTGCAGTAAACATTGTGGCATTTAAGGACACTTGATGGATTTAAATTGCACATTAATAATTAAGCGTACTTGGCCTAGTCAGAACTATTATGCGCTGCAGTCGTTCTATACTCATGCCTCAGTATTTGTTTACACGCTGGACTAAAACCTGCTTTTCCCATATGTCATCCCATCTATGATTTTGCGTCCTGTGTGTGAATGTCCCCCGCTAAAATGTATATATAAATGTTGTAAGAGTCTGTACTATGTGTGTTTCCAGAAATGCCTGCGATTGGACCTTGAGGCTCCAGTGTGGGTTTGTAAGCAGCGAGTACTGGTCACTCTGACACAAAGCCTGACCGATGTGCTTAACTATGGCCTCTACCTCCCTGCCTTTAATGGGCGTGCCGGAAAGTTCCTCGATGAGGAGAGATTGCTCAGGGAGTATCCTCTCCCTACGGTCACACCTGTACCATACCTAGAGGTGCACATACATGCTGACAGAGAGCTCTCGCTTAATACATTACTAATGCCCCATGTTGCTTGTGGTATTATCATTTACCTCTTAATTCATTTGTGTGACTTCAGTTCCGTTACAAGAGGCGTGTTTACACTCAGAGCCATGTAGATGACAAGCAACTGGCCAAATTGCACACTAAGGTAATGTTTAACATTCATGTGCACTACCATTATATAGTTAGGAGTTAGACAGATTTTTTTTTTTCAGCAAAGATGCCTTAGATTGTGCAGAGTTTACATTTATAATACTACTAAAAATTATATTTTAAATAAATAGTAAGCAATAAATAGTCACAGCATATTTTGAACAATATAAAAATGTAATAATTATAAGAAATGTTTGAGCAAATCAGCATATTAGAATAATTGCTGGAATGACGCTGAAGATGG